TAGTCAATTACCAAAATTTGGATGATTTTGAATATTCACTTGAAAAGTTATCAAAGAAAAACATTTTTCATTTTGTAACTTCGAGGGCCCGTAACTTGGTTACGAAGACTTTTAGGAAAAAAAGTTATATGAAGTACTGGTGATATTTTGACCCCATCTATACATTCCCGAGAGGAAAAGAGGAAGCCTAGGGACACCCTGTATATCTTGATACGAAGCAAAATCCGTTTTCTTCATAACCCTCTGGAAGATTGTTGATAATAAACACCTATTTTCTTTCTCCAAAGTTGCCTCAGTATTTGAAATTCATTTGACGACGCGTCAAATGAATCGCACACTAATAGAAAATAGCGTTCCGTAAAATTTTCCAAATTTTTGAAAATAAATGAGAAAATTATTATAAGACCAAAAAACAGGGTAGAGAATTATTATTGAAGGTGAGGCCATTTCTTGAAAAAATAAATAAATCCAAAAGAAGAAAATAATGGCAAAATGAAGTAAGAAACAATTCGTATAATATTCAATCTATAGAGGTTCATCGATACATACAGTGGCATACAGAAATTATTTCCTATGAATTTTAATGAATTATTTTGTAAGTTTTGATATGTTTGAAGTAGTTATTATGTTCACAAAGGATATTATTTTGAATAATTTTGTGCTATATAGGGTGAAAAAGTGGAATGTTACTCACAATGAAATACAAATCAAATCAAATTTTTGCATATCATATTGTATCTTGAAAGAACCAACGTAGGCGGTCTATTTTTTCATATGGTCTGAATCCTAGAGTCAATGCAGATGTAATACTCGATTATATACTCAATTATCAGCCACTTGCTGCTGTTTCTTGAATTGTGAAGTTTAGAAGACAATGATTGTTTACACAGGTTGTTAAAAAAGTATCTAGATAGTGAAAAGATGTAATAGAAGTCGGCGTGATTTAAAAATCATTGTTTAGTGTAGCAAAAATATTGTTGAGAGTATAACACAATATGTTGAATAACTTTAGTCTATATTTTGAATTATGCTTGTGTAAAAAAGATAGTACATGAATAAACAGTCCGACAATTTTATAAATTCATAAGTAATCCATTTGGTCCTTCGAGTCAATTAATAAAGTATCCTCAGAGAGTATAGACAAGCAAGGTGTGACGACACAAAATACGAGTGTTCGCCTTGAAAACCAACGGGAACCCGACGAGGTTTCATCCAGGATGAGTGTTGCTGATAATGAAGGAAAACTCACGATCAATATACTTACAATATACTTACTTTTCCGGGAAAATTGCAAATCTGATAGCTACTACCTCGAATGTCCACAACTCATCGAGAAATTGTTAGAGAAATTACCTTATATGAGGTTGTTTTAAAAATTTTATCCGTCATTTTAGTGTCATGAGTTTTTGTAGTTTCATATCTCAATACATATTTATTGTACAATGTCGTGTTATATACTGAACGACAGAGGATGTTGCACTTTATACAATGACGCTGTTCTTTTTTTTCAAAATTTTGCCGGTGTGATTTAGGGGAGAGTGTGTATGAAAGAACCAGGCTTTGAAAGACCAGATGTGATTTTCTACCACTTACCAAAATCCTACCATGATTTAATTTCAATTTGTATGGCAACACTGAATATGGCATCCACAAACATTATGACAGTTCTGCGAAAATTAATGGTGTCGGTAAACCAAATCAAAGATTTTAGGACCAAAAAGTAAGTTTTTTTGCCTTTACTCAATTTATGATGCACTGTTTGGAAACTTTGGTGTAGTAATGAATATCACTGGAGTTTTTTCCCAACACCAAACCGTTATTTCAACACCTCGACACGTGTGTCGATCACCAAGTGATCATCTTCAAGAGGAAGATTAAACTAAATCTACATACAATGTTGTCTTTATGAATTCATATTGAACCAGAGCGCTGCCGAAACAGCTGGAAAACATAACCAGGCATTTCAGAATGATAGTGTTGGTGAACGCACTGTTCAACGCTGATTTATGAAATTTTTGGGAGATTTTAGCTTCAAAGATGTAACCCGAAGTGGTCGACCTACATTAGTCCAGGATGGATCACTGATGATTTAAAACGTATCGGAAAGGTCAAAATACTCGAAAAGTGGGTGCCTCACGATTTGAGCGATCGACAAAAATTATTACGTTTCGAGGTTAGTTCCTCTTCGCTTTTGCGCAACCAAAACGATCGGATCGTCACATGTAACGAAAAGTGGATCCTCTACGACAACAGGAAACGTTCAGGAGCGTGATTAGACACCAATGAGCCACCCAGGCACTTCCCGTAGGCGAAAATCCATCAAAAAAAGACCATGGCTACTGTATGGTAGTCAGCGATTGTTCTTTGTAGATTTTTATATAATTTTTAAAGCATTATGCCTTTTTCATTTATGTAACAACTAGCGACCATTGTTATTAACATTTGTAAGTACTAAGGCAATTAGTTCAGTGCATTCGAAAAGTCATTTTCGTAGCTTCCTGATGATAACAGTAACCACTGTCCAAATATTAGCTGATTTTTTGTTTTGTGTAACTCACACATTATATGAAATTGCAATGTTCTTCAGCAATATATAACAATACGTCCTAGATCTTATCTTGAGCTATCAGATTCGAAATGATATATGTTTCTGTATTTTCAGCATGTCTTGCACCGTTGACGAATGGACTTCAGTTCGCTTGGACATCTCCATTCGTACCAAAAATAACCAAAGATAAAGAACATTACGACATATCGGAAGAAGAGGCTTCATTTCTCACCATTGTGCAACCCTTAGCCATGATATTATGTTGTCCTTTTTCCTCGAAGTTATGCGACATCATTGGAAGAAAAAAAATGTTGATGTTAGTGGCACTGCCACATACTTTGAGTTGGATTTTAGCAGCAGCTGCTACAGACATCCTGACGTTCTATATTTCGAAGTGTTTTTCTGGAGTTGCAGCCGGAATAACATTTGTTACGATTCCAATGTATATTGGAGAAATATCGTGTCCTGAAATTCGAGGAACTTGGGGAAATCTCTTTTCATCGTCATTATACTTTGGAGAATTTGCAATCACAATGCTTGGTAGCTATTTTAATGTGAAAGAAACTTCTTACATTTGCATCCCTATCCCAATGTTATTCTGTGCTTTGTTCTCTTTTATGCCAGAATCACCCTACTATTATATTATAAATGATAGAACCGAAGATGCCAAAGATTCTTTGAGATTTCTCAGACGCAAACAAAACGTCGAAGAAGATTTTAAATTACTTGAAAATGATGTAAAAAGGCAAATGTCAGAATCTGCGAAATGGGAAGATCTTGTCAAAATAAACAGCAACAGAACAGCACTTCTTGCAGCATTATTCTTAAGAACATCCCAAGTATTTGGAGGACTAACAATATTCATTGTATACATTCAGTTCATTTTTGAAAAATCTGGTGGAAACATCAGCCCAGAACTATCTTCAATGACATATTCGGGTTTGAGTTTTATGTTGAACATATTTGTGGTAGTATTTGTTGTAGACAGATTAGAAAGAAAAGTAGCTTATATTTTATCAATATTTCCTTGTTCTATAATACTCATTTTATTATCGATTTACTTCTACATCGAAGAATATTGCCCAAAAATAAACATGGATTTTTTAAAGTGGGTACCATTAGGAGGATTGATTTTATACCAAATATTCACGTCCTTTGGAATGGCCATTATTCCAACATTAATGCTATCAGAGTTATTTTGTGCAAGTGTAAAGTCAAAAGCCATGACAGTGATGGCCATAGATTTTGGAGTCTTGTCTTGTCTCGCAAATTATAGTTTTCATATTCTTTATTTTTCAGTAGGACTCTATGCACCATTTCTATTTTTTGGTTGCTCCAGTATTATTTCAACGGTCCTGTCATTTTATGTAATACCCAATACTAAGGGTAAAACCTTAGAAGAAATCCAACAGTCCCTCAAGAACAATGTAGTACATAGTATTTCACAAATGTAGCAAGTTTGTTTGCGACTGCTTTGAGAACATTATTTTCAATCTGATTAGAATTATTGACTGAGAATAATTGAAAAATAGGGACAGAAGCAAATTTCTGCCGAGATTTGCATATCGTGACTTACAAATGAGGCATATTTTTCACAAAAGCAGGTGTAACTTTAATCTACACTTGTAAAAATTCAAGAGGTGAAAAGAAGTAAATCATATCATCTTTCATTCCATTTATATGCATATACTTTATTATAATCTCTTAAGTTTATAAACCGATCGGTAATCCTGAAAAAAATTGGTAAATTTTTTTAAATTCATTTTAAAAATTAAAGTTTCAAAACTTAACAGTTTTTGAAGTATCGAACCAATTGAATTGCAAGATCTCCCATTGGCAAGATTCTAGTTTTAGTGAAAAATTAAAGAGAAACATTATGTAATTCATTTTCAAGCAGGGTTTCTATTATCTCCTGCTTAGGGGTCTGATGGACTAAATGATTATCTGTGATAGTAATTTGAAAAAGTATAATTAAGTATAGTGAAATTAAACACAGAACATCAAAATGTTGACTTTAACTTTTGTAAAACATCCTATATATTACAAATAAACCAAATATTATGAGAAAAATTTGCAAAAGTTACGAATTAGAGTTCACAAGTGTTGATTCTATTCAATTTCATTGCACTAGAATTAACTGATGAGGTTGATAGATGCGCGATTTAGGATTTTTGATAAGACAAAGATTATTTCAGTAAATATTTATTTTTTATTACAGAGGTGGCTTGGAAAAAGAAATGTTTTCAAGCAATATATTTATTATCAAATTCTAAGTACCTTATACCTGATGAAAATCCATAACGTTTTAAAGTACGCTTCAATATGATATGGGTTTCCCATTATGCAGTAAAGGGCTAATTACTGCATGAAGAAAACTTTTCATCAAACTGAAAATAGTTTTGAGATAGACAAACAAGTAGATCATGACGTGGTTTACAGAACAGATAATAATTTAAGCAATATCATATAAAGAATAGAGACGAAACTTCAGTGTTGAATAGGTCAAGAGTATATGAGTCGGCTTGTGGCTCTTGCTCTAAACTTTGTATTGGTCAAACGGAAAGAACATGTTTCCAAAGAATGTAAGAACATGGAAGTAATTTCTTGAATGTAAAGACTAATTCCACATTTGCAAAAATCTTTTAGCAAATGAGCATGAGTTTTACCACGACTATGACGTATTATATTTGAAATAGAAAGGTGTGAAACTCAATCTTTGGAAATGCCTGGAGGTTAATAGATATAAGAATTAAATTTACCGAATGACAAAATGAAATTGAATTCTTTCCGTGTCAAATCTGTTTTCTAAATTAGTAATTAGTTTATAACATGTGTCCATTTATTGAGTTGGCAAAATTTATTTTATGAATAATTGCATAATAATTGAATAAAATATTATTGTATTCGATCGATAATGTCCTATAGGACGAAACTGCAGTAACGCTAGTTACAAATACAAGTGGTATAAAAACATGGGAAGTTTAATTTCTCAGTTTTGGTGACAATGATGTTTGGTATGTGACACTTGCAATGACAATAACACTATTGTCGTTTACACATATCATCTTTTTATAGAACTTGGACCAGTGCAGAGGAAACCAACAATGTGTAATAGTTTTGCACCTCCCTTTTCAGACTGAAATTCTTCAAAACATCTTGACTTCTGAAATATCTGTAGTGTAACGAAAACACCAAAAAATCGTTCTAACTGTAAACTTTTCTTAGTCAGGACATCAAAAATAGTATATCAATAATTCATATGGCATACTTCAGGGGTTTACTTCTATTCTGGGTGATATAATTTATTCAATTCCAATATTTCGATTTTTATATTTAATGTGCCCACCCGATCCTGCAAGTGTTGGTATGCTGCATCGTATCTGAACAAGAATGATACTACATTATATTTAATTAACTGAATGAAAAGTTTATGCAGCCTATTGCATCTCGAATGATAAATCTAATATAAACAAACGAGTTTCAAACTTTGAAATCGCTCCTAATTCTGTGAAAAAGCATCCAACAGATAACCTGAATGTTAATCACGATGGTAGTAGAGAATGGTCAAAATTGTGAAGATTTGGGAAAGACATGGCCTCAAATTCTTGCAATCGCACTAGGTAAGTTGAATATATAATATTTATCTGGATTCAGGCATATAAACTGTATAACACGGAAGGTCGCAAATTTTCACTTCGAAATATTATTGAAAAAGCAATCCACATCATTTTTTAAAAAATTTTTGGATAAACTGGATGAATTTATAACTTTTGTCACTATATAATGAACTTTGAAGGCATGGAAATGGTTGCTACACCTTTGTCACTCTATAATGGAAATACTTTCATCTACCGAATTTGTCAGTGAATAATTTTTAACATGTCTTACAAATTAATTTATTGATCGCAATTGCAAAGTTGAAAATTTTTACTTTGAATACTGATTCTTCACTATCACTTCATTTAAAGTTGACAAATATCTGGCTAACTTCACGAAAACACTTAGATATGCTTTTGCTACATCAAAAAATCAGAAATGTTTTTGGAGCTATGGTTTTTTCGGTAGAACAGCAATTTCCTTAAATGACATTACTCTTCGGATGTTTCGCCCATATAACATATTATTATCATGATTCGCTTTTAGGGTACTTCGATAATTATTTGAATTTTCAGATTTGAAAAATTTCAAAATGTCTGTTTTGAAATGCATTGTATTTATTTCGTGTTTATAAATATTCGACGAATAAAAGTATTTCATAAATGAGTCCGTTTGGAAAAGGTGCTGGAAAAATATGTATCCAACGCTCTGATAGTTTTCTTTGATTCCTTGCAACTATTTAATAATAAACAATTTGGCTTCAGAAGCGGTCTATGACTTGGAAGTGCAACTGCTGATTTTGTCAGGGGTCGGCAAGTAGTTTTAGGTGGGGTCAGGATACTGTGGGAAAATTTTACCGGGGTCCAAAAAAAAACAAATATTAATAATAAAGTGATATTATTTTGGTTTCAAATCATATTCTGAATTATAAAAGAAATACAAGACCTCTTATTAATGTGAGAAACTACACCGACGGTCTTGAGCCAGTTTTTTATAGTTTGGTTCTCGAGAGGAACATCAAATACGAAGTGTGTCTTCTAGGTGAGCGTTTGTTGATCTCGAACGATTGTTTTTCAAAAAATTCATCTTTGAGAAAGATGTTTCACATATGTATGTCGAGCCAAACATAGTGGCCAAATTGAAAGCTATAGTCTTTTACAATTTTCCTATTTTTCAGGGACATGTTTGGTCCAAAATTCTTCAGTGGATACCGTTCTATATATTTGCAAAGACACATCTTCTTGCAAAACAATTATCTCCATTTGAAGTGATGGCTTTGACAGATTAAACAATTTGGCAGCCAAATATGTCCATTTTGCCGCTGCATCAATTTCAAATGGAGATTTAAGAAACGTAGATAGCTTGACTATCTCTGCAAAGTCTTGGAATCTTGTAGCAAATTCGTTCTTCTTGAGATCGGTCAGAAATTTTACAAACTTTGCAATGTCTTCTTCATAGGTCTCCTTTTTGAATTCAAGAACTGTGGGGAAATGAATAAATTCCTGTTTGACGATATCTTTTTCGAAGCTATTCAGCTTACGACGAAAATCAGATCACATATTAATTTTCCATTTTCTTGTAACTCTGTATTTAAAATATCTTTCAGAAAAGCCACAACCAGCATATTGCCCTCGTTTATTATAAACTCAAAGTGATTTCTGGCTCCCCGGTACCAAATTTTGCAAGAAGGAGGATACTTGTTCTTTTATTAGCCAAAAACGTTCAATACCTTGACCTTTACTTAGCCAACAAACGTTGTTGTGTTGTAGTAAGTCAGAAAACGCAGAATCACATTCAGAAAGGAACTCTTTGAAATGTCGGTGCTAAAAAGCAGAATGGGATCTCATAAAATTATTCAACTTGACTAAATTGTCCATCACAAAGGGCTGCCTGGTGAATCATGCACTGATACGATATTACACCTGAATCGAAACCATTTTATCATAACTGATGTTATATTTCGTAATAAAATCATAAATGGCCTCAAATAAGTCTTCTCCTCGAGTGATACTGTAACGAATTAAAAAATTAACTGTCTTAAACAAATTTATTTTAACAATACTTCACTATCACAACTAATTTATTTACACCACTTAGTAACTAACGCTTAATTTATCTTCACCGTTTGTTAACCGCTCGATTCGCTTTCTTGGTACAGACTGCTCTTCGGGACGATTAGCGACGTTTTAATATCGTCAACGAACGTTCCGGATCCCTCTGCGGATTTCGGGACCCATCCGGAATTTTCGCGGTATGCGTCATACTGGGAACCGGTCAGGGCCGGCTTCAGATTCATTACAATACCTATCAGCGGCAATATTGCTAGCAACTCTTCCCTAAAAATCTGGCACTCAATGTCAAAAAATATTACGAAAACTGATATTTTTTCATCATCAACAATGTCATATGATTCATCAAGTACTATGACGTAGCAAGGTGCCTTTTGCAAAAGTTCAAGAAGAGTGTTTTCAATGTCCTCAGCTAAAATTTCAGTTCTTCGTGTATTACTTCTCACTACCAATGGAATACTTTGAATGGCAGAAACATGTTTTTTTCTTCAAACAATGACGTAACTACTGCCTTCACTATCTCAGAGTCTGAAAATGGTTTCTAGTGTTTATTAAGCGTCCAGCACACACGTAACGCTGCTTCTGTGGATTTTTCTTGGTCGCTCATGCAACGAACTAGTAATTTTGTAGTCTTTTCGTTAGAACTGAGATATGTCTTGAATTTTTTCTTCACGAGCCTGACTGCCAAAAAAAAAAGTTTTTGTCGAATTGCTGATGAGTTGTTTCGTAGTGTCGCTTCAAATTTACACTTTTTAACAATAGCGACAGTTTTTTTTGCATATAAGGCACACTGGAACCGCTTGAGGCCTATCAGGCAGCGTAAAACAATATCATTCAATCCATTCTGCCAAAAATCTTTTATTTTCACTTTTCGTTTTTTAAGATCCATATCAACGTGAGTACAGAAAGATTTTTTTTATCAAACGAACGAAAACGACAGAAATCATGAAACAAATGTCCGGTCGTTTTATATTGTAGATGTGCAATAAGAAAGAATTTTTGAATATTCCAACTGGGGCGCCAGTCGCGGATTAAAAAGGCACGTCCAAATACAAAATTATTTTTTCATCACGTGTTTCTCCATACTGGTATATTTTCGGAGTCTGAAATTTTGTATGTACCTAGGTTCGTTTTATGTTCCAGATGTGCAATAAAAAAAGATTTTTAAATATTCCAAGTAAAACGTCAGCCGCGGGGGAAGAAGGCGCGTTTATAAAATTATTTTTAATATATCTTTTTTTATCTGTCCATAATGTGATCAATATGACAGATTTAAAATGCAGGAACATAGCGGTTGCAGCGGTAACGGCCCAATTATATGTCGCTCTTTTAAGAGTGACCTCTCAAGAAAACATGTTTGCATTGTCTACTGACAAAAAAGCTGTGAACGTTGTATATAAAGACATTCTGTAGTATATTTAATATGTGTGATTCATGACTTGTTTATTTTGTGGTAATTCATGATCACTTTAATGAAATGAATAAAAATACTTTTGTCTAATTACCATTAGTCAATTTTATTTATACGACCGGTTTCGGGTTTAAGTATAAAACCAGAAATATATACCCCTAAACGAGCAATTCGATTTATATAGGTTTCCACTGTTGAATTATAATTTTTGAGAAAGAAAGTTTTTGGTTTTCTACTTCTCCATCTTGATACAAAAAACAAGGATGAGGGAATCTTCCAAGGAAAGGAAGGAAGTAATCAATTTTGAAATTTTCCACATGTAACTGATAACTTTCNGTATAGAGTTACTTATTTTAAAATTGATTACTTCCTTCCTTTCTTTGGAAGATTCCCTCATCCTTGTTTTTTGTATCAAGATGGAGTAGTAGAAAGCCAAAAACTTTCTTTCCCAAAAATTAATCACTCCTAAAAATATAACCCCTTTAATTTGAATTATAAGTTTAATAATCCCTATAATCTTTAGTGTTGAATTTTAAAGTTGGCAAGCTGGTTCGTTTAACTACCTGGCCTATCTTACCGAAAAACTCCCGATATAACCTGTGTGTTTCTCAGTAGTTCAAAACCGCTTTCATCGTTATTCGAATGTTTTGTTTTATTCATTGACGGAAGATACATGAAAATGTTTTTTCATTTTACATTATGATTGTTTAAAACCTGATATTGAGTTTTCTTTAATGTTAATATTTAAAATTTTGATTGTTTTTCATATATTAACGAAAATCGAACACCTCTTTTTTATTTAGGCAAATAGTTTTTATATTTGGAACAACCTGTTTGCGCAACTTTGCTTAACCTTTAAATAACTCAAGGTAAAATTACAAATTGAATGATACCGCCATCATTATTTTCTGTAAAGGCAAACTAAAATTTTGCAAAATATCATTTGTAAACTACAATACTTTACAGGAATAATGTAATTCTTTCCATAATTCATTTCAGGAAGTCTAGCAGCGTTAACCAATGGACTTCATCTAGCTTGGACATCACCATTTATACCAAAGATAACCAAAGATAAAGAACATTACGATATATCAGAAGAAGAAGCATCATACCTCACAATTATCCAGCCTTTTGCAATGATCTTGACTTGTCCCTTTTCTTCTAAATTATGCGACATTATTGGAAGGAAGAGAACACTGATGTTGATATCACTGCCACAGATAATAAATTGGATTTTGACAGCAGTTGCTACCGACATATATACTTTTTATAGTTCTAAAGTTTTCTCGGGAATTGCAGGTGGAATAGCTTTTGCTGCTTTACCAATGTATATAGGAGAAGTCTCTTGTCCTGAAGTGCGAGGAACTTGGGGAAATCTATTTTCTTCGGCACTATATCTCGGAGAATTCATAATGGCAATACTCGGCAGTTATTTCAATGTAAAGGAAACATCTTACATCTGTATTTCAATCCCTATTGTATTTATTATCTTTTTCTCTTTTATGCCCGAATCACCTTACTTTTATATAATGAAGAAAAAACATGACTATGCTAAAACTTCTTTACGATTTTTCAAACGGAAAGTGAATATTGATCATGATTTTATGTTGCTGCAGAATGATGTAATACGACAAATGTCAGAATCTGCAGAATGGAGAGATTTCATTAAAATTGGAAGCAATAAAAAAGCACTGAAAGCAGCAATATTTCTGAGAACTTCTCAAGTATTTGGAGGACTAACCCTGTTTATTGTTTATATTCAATTTATTTTTGAGAAATCTGGTGGAAATGTGAGTCCGGAATTATCATCAATAATATATACAGGTCTTAGTTTTGTCTTGAATATTTTTGTCGTTATATTTGTCGTGGATAGACTGGAGAGGAAGAATGCTTACATATGTTCGATTGGTCCTTGTTCTGTAATTCTTCTTTTGGTTTCGGCATATTTCTATGTTGCTAAATACTATCCTGACTCAGTTGTTACTTCCTTGAAATGGGTACCAATTACAGGAATGTTATCTTATATGATATTTGCATCTTTTGGGATGGCAGTCATTCCTACACTGATGCTCAGCGAACTATTTTCTACAAATATCAAATCCAAAGCAATGACGATAATGTCAATAATTTTTGGGGTACTGGTTTGCCTCAATAACTATGTTTTTCATGGTTTATACTTCTCTTTGGGACTCTATGCACCATTTTTATTTCTTGGATGCTGCAATGCCATTTCAACAGTGCTCTCGTTTTTTTTAATACCAGAGACAAAAGGTAAAACCCTTGAAGAAATTCAACAGTCACTCAAAAATAAGAATTCCAATGGGGTGAGTCGAATTGTTTAATCAAATAGATTACTTCAGTTGTAACTAAGTATATACCTGGTTGTATGTACATATATATGTTGTTGTTATTATTATTTTTATTCTTTATTGTTTTCAAGATATACATCTGACAAGAATTTTGGATTGTTAGTTAATGAAAACTTTCACGAGAACACTGAAAAGATAAAAAACACATGATAACAGAGTGACAAACCTATTCCTTGACAATGAAGTCCCGTAATTTAAAAACTAAGATAATAAAAACGGCCAACATGTTTGCCTATTTACAGTTAATATTGTGTAGGCAGCGAACTCATACATGTTTCTTTTTCTAAAAAAGCAGAGCATTCGATCTGACGGCAGAAACTATTGAAATAACCGATCCAATTGCCGGATTTGCTTTGGAAATTGCCATTTCCCTGAAGAGATCCAGAAATAAAAGTCTCAATATAGAAATTGTTTACAAGAAAAAGGTAATGGAAACAATAATTTATTCGCAATTTTGGATACATCAAAATTTATGGTGAGTCAGTGGCCATCCGTGAAGGGTTTTTGGTACTTACTTTGCTTTCATATTTCTCTTCTTTCTATAAACTAGGAACATGACCTAGATGCTCAGCTGTATTGAGTTGAACTAAGGTACATTAATAAATAGATTTGTAACCATGTATAATCTATAGAGGTAGAGCTTGTATAACCATTTTTATCAGTAAACATTCTAGTAGCACTCTCGGGACTTCCATCCAATTGGTAGGAGAAGCTTGGTGTCAATATCATGTTTTTGATGATCTATATTGAAGTCTTCACACATCATAACAAAGTCAGAAAGGACCTTACCATTTATGCCATCCATTCCTGCTGCAGGTTTAGATGTTGTTTTTGAGATGATTTCCTGAACTTCTTCAGGTGTTACAGGAGTTAGGAAAAAACTTTTATGAAATTTATCGAAATGTTGATCAAGACTAGGAACATGACCTAGATGCTCAGCTGTATTGAGTTGAACTAAGGTACATTAATAATTAGATTCGTAACCATGTATAATCTATAGAGGTAGAGCTTGTATAACCATTTTTATCAGTAAACATTCTAGTAGCACTCTCGGGACTTCCATCCAATTGGTAGGAGAAGCTTGGTGTCAATATCATGTTTTTGATGATCTATATTGAAGTCTTCACACATCATAACAAAGTCAGACTGTGAAGACGCTTTGTCACGTGCTTGTGTTAATACAATCTCGAAAATATTAATGTTTCCGTTAGGTGGCCTGTATGTACTCTTCTATTGACTGTTGAGTAGCGAACGGCACATATCTCAATTCCACGTTCTACAGATAAGCTTTCAATAGATTCAATTTCATTATTGAGATGCCTTTCCCTCATCAATATAAGAGAACCACCATGAGACTTGTCACCTCTTGCATAGGTAGATTCTTCTTTATAGTAACTAAGTTGTGCTATATTTTTAAAATCTGGATTGTTAGTTGTTAACAACAAACACAAAATATAATGATTGTGAGTATTAATAAAGAATTCAATCATTGTATGATTAAATATTTAAGAAAACTTGAACAGTAACATGACATATATTAACTGAAAATTGGATGTCACACATAAAGTTCGCGACATATAGAAGCTTTATTATCAATAGATATAATGAAAATTTGACTTCTCAGTTAGTTTTTCTACACCCGTACTCTAACAATACACTTATATGACCATAATCCGTTTCATAATGATATCCATTATGATACAGATTTTTCATAACGATACAGATTATCAACCAATAGAAACCCATAATTTTTCAATCAAGAATCCTGTTCCTTTGTTTGTCCTAGATTCTAACCTAACTAACTAATTGCTTTATTTGTCAAAATCAGTTTTCATATTACCTACCTATATTATCAAAATGTCTGAAAACAGCGATATAGAAGGAATACCATCGACTCCAATATTTTTAAAAGATCAGATTATTTACAGTTGTTATATTCAATATAAATATAATTAGAATCTTTATAGTTTTCATATATCCATGATAATACCATTAAGTTTGTGTTTTTTAAAAAAAATGAGTTAATTACTGTAAATGTAATAAATATTTATAGTTTTTCATTATTTATCGGGTTTAGAAAAAATAGCCTATGCAACTCTCATGTAATGGTTATTAATACACTCGCATTTACCATACAAAACTCGCCTTCGGCTCGTTTCGTATCCCGGTTAATGCTCGTGTCTTAATAACCATCATTACATGATCGTTGCATAATATACTATTATGCTTGACAAATGAGTGAAAAACAGCTTATTTTTTTGTCATGTGCCAGTCTAAACCTGTCAAATTTGACATTTTTTTCGAAATTCCTGAAAGAATCAGAAAAAGTTGCTCAGTTTCCAATTGTATACCTTTGCTCGAAATTTAGACTCTCTACTGTCACTTCGACTGTTTTCCAATTTTTTTAATTTTTCGAATCTTTCGCTGTATCGATTCAAAAGAAACATTACTGAAATTTCATAATGTTGATAAAAACGTCTATTCGATTATTGACATATTAACGTCCATACATTGAAAATCCGAATCAGTTTAACAATGAAATGAAAAAACTAGATGAACTTTGTAACAACAAAGACGAATTTCTAGAGTAATAACTTCCATATGTCGCGAACTTTATGTGTGATACTGTATGTTTACCGATAAATGTCCGGCCACCTGTGTCCAAATTGTCATTGCATCCAGAGAAATAAATTTGGGAAGAAACAGTTGAATCTAGATTGGAATTATTTCCAGTTGTTTCATTTCGTGAAGACTCACTGATGGTTTTCAGATTGGTGGCAGTGATTTCTGTTTCTGTGCCATTGTTTTTCAATTCATACTGTGTACGCCAAATTTGTACTTCAATACTGGAGGAAGCCTCATTTTTAAGTTCGAAGAATCTTTTACGGCTTGGCCACGGGAATCGGCGGTGCGAACGACGAAGCGGGGAGCGAGGCGACCATTCACGCAACACCGTTTGCAGGCCACGGGCAGTCACGTTCGCCGTCGTGACCAATAGTCCGACAGCGAAATGTCTTTATCGAAATTATCTCGATATTACTTAGAAAGTAATAGCATAGGAAACTAAAAAATGAAAAATAAATATAGTTTAAAAAAACTAAAAAAGACGCTTCTGAAGAACATCGAACTAAAAAGTTAAAAATATTTTTTAAATAAGCTTAAAACAACAACGAACGCAATAACGAACACAAGTAATGTTACTTGGAGCAAACAGTAAGATAATTTTTCAAGGGACCCACCGAATCATCTGAAAAATCAAGATGATGTAATTAATGAACTCAAGGGAAATTCATGACTAATTATAGAAAATATTGTCGTGTAAAGCCGACCAAGATATTGATTCATTACCAGGTAAAACCAGATTGAACCACACGCTATGAGGAATTTGCACAGGTTACAAATTTGAGTTCACGGATGTTGTTTCTAATCCATTTGTACTAGGATCGAATGAAGAATGAAAATATGGTCTTTATTCTAAGGTTGATAAATGCGTGTTTTGGAGTTTACTGATAAAATAAATATTATTTCTGTAAATATTTATTCAATTTCAATTACAGAGGTGGCTTGGAAAGAGATTAATACTTTAAAAAAACAGATCTATTGCCCACATTGAGCCATTTCAGAGAGTCTGTGTGGGATTCCTTGTCATCTCATTATTCCAAATATGGACGGACCATAGTGTAGTTTTTAAAGAAAATAGTGAGATTTGCAATGAATTATCATTGTAATATTTCATATAAAGATATAAATGGCTTTTTTCATTTCATAAACATTTGAGTAATTTTATCAAAATTATCTTGGGAAGATTATCAAAGGGAAGACACAAGAATGTTTGAACACAGAATAAGCAATCTGTTTCTTTTTTGGAAAGTAGCCTGTGATGTAAAAAAAGAAGTTCCAGGACCCTGGAGAAAGTATTACCCTCTAGAAAATTCAATCCTTTCAATAGGCGTTTCATGAACACTGCCAACAGAATATTGTGTACAAGTTTGAACTTGACAGCTTCCCATATGAAGCTTCCAAGTCAGTAGAATCTTGTTTTCAAAGCGGATACTTCAAATGAAAGTCACTACGAAAATTTCAATTCTTCATAAATTGTTACATTCATACATTTTTTTAAATCAATGTGCTCACCCCGATCCTGTTGATGAGACATATATCTTGACAGGAATAATAATACATAATATTTATTTAACAGAGACAAAAAATGTTGAAACATCTGAAATTATTTATGATAAAATTAATTAACAAACTAACGAGTTGAAACTTTTGAATCGCTCCCTCTTTTGTAAAATAGCATCCGTCAGTTAATTTAATTATCAATCAAAATGACGGATGAAGAGGTGGTGGAGAATGGTCAACATTGTGAAGATTTGGAAAAGAAATGGCCTCAAATTCTTGCAATTGTACTAGGTAAGTCAAGTTTAATACTTATCTTGGTTCATGCATATAAACTGTATAAGGCTAAAGGTCGAATCTTTTTAATCCAATAGATAAGATACTTGATAGCTACAGTCTTGTTTTGTAACATTTCAAATAAATGAAGATGACCCTGAGAATAGTCTAGGAATACGTTATGAACTGAAATAATTGACAGACAGGAATTTATTTTTGGTGTCAGAACACCTCTGTTCTGTAATATAAGGTGATATTGTTGGAGAGGTAAACATTTGCTTAATCAACTTTATTAGATACTATTATGCCTGTTCTTCAGTGAGTGGTAAACCTTGAATTAAAACTTTATTTGATTGCCAATTTCACTTAAAAAATATTTCAATTATTTTGGTCACTATCGCTTCCTGATGCCAACATGACTTTTACTGAACTGAATCTGGCTGAACACCGAAGCGGTCAGTAATATATACAAAAATCGAAGATACGCGAACCGTTCTTCCTTTTCAGAATAATTCATCGCGTCTGCAGCACACAAATACTCTTCTAGGTTCGCTGTGATATTAGTATACATATTATGTCTATAATTTTGCAACTCGTTGTAAACTATCACTGACACCAATGGTAGGTACGTCTATGCGTGAGTTCTTAATGATGAATAAGTTATATGCTTATTCAAATTTGATACCTTATTTCACACAACGGTAAACTATAATTCAGTTATATATTGCAATCATTGAACATAATCACTTGTTCAATTGACGGTTTTCTTGCTCTCGAACTTCATTACATTTTGAACTAATCCTCGAGTTGATCTGATTGTTCTGCAGCTTGATGCTGGCGAAGACACACCACATTTAAATGATTCGAACGCATAATCGCGATAGCTTCAACTCGATTCTGATCAGTCCGAGAGTTCCAAAATGATGATGAAATCACAATTCGCTGTCGAATCGTCGCGTTCAATGGCGGCGCATCAACAGTTCAACATTGCCACCTTCTGCAAGAGCTCTGTCTCGGGTATTTCGTATGTGTGGAACCATTTGTAAGGATTATTCCGCTTTCTAAGTGAACTACCAGTAGTTTGCTTTTGCTCTGTAGGTTTCTTGTTCAACTGGTTCTTAATCTAGTCGCTGGTATTCCGTAGACGTCTTGTGAATTCATTTACTTTACCCAGTCGCTATTATTTTCACCAGAAATAGGTGCTGTTAGCCTCTTTTTATAGTCTCGTCATTATAACGTTCAAGGAGTATTTGGAGCAATATTCTGATTTTCGAATTACGAACAACTCTCAGCATCAAATGAATAAAAACAAAATGCTTCATTGTCGTTCCTCGGCATGCATTTTCGAAATGTAGTCATCCTGTTCTACGATATCGAAAACGACGATGTACTTTTCCATAATTTTGGCTACTAAAATGTAAATTTTAGATAGCTGTTGAACCCTTACACACGAACAAACTTTCCAGTTATGAATTATATGTATCTCGTAGCCTAGCTCTCCGGAGCCAGTAGCCTGCAACGTTTTTCTGGTGAGGTGGATTTTTTGTTCCTTCTAAGAACTTGGTCAATTCCTTTGCTACGGTAGCTCAACGTCCGATGTTAGTTATCTTCCGGTGTATTTCCGTCCCTTCTTTGTGTCCTGTTTTCCACCATTATAAAAACATTTTTCCAAAAAGTCCTATTTTCTGAACTGATGAGCTTAATTTTCTTGTCTCCTAAAGTTTACTAACATGTTTCATGATGACTCTCCGGTAAATTTCAAAAACTACACCTCACGATTTGATCTCCACAAACCGGTGAATATTACTGAGAATATAATTGAATATATCAGAGAGTTCCATATTGAAACAGTTGAAGCGAAAATAATTGAAGATGATTCACAATATTCAACGAAAGTCATTTTTTGTGGAGGAAAAAATCAGTTTTTTATCGACCTTTTTTTGGGTAATGGTTACCTTCCACAATCTGAAAAAATATAAAAATTATAATGGAGAACTTTATACAAGTGTAGAAGGGCAAACTTTTTAGTTTACCCCGATAAGTTACTGCGTAAAAATCAAAGTATTTTTCACAAAGAAAAATCTTCTATTTATCAGTAACTTGTCGTATTTCACAATTTTGCCTATCAAAAAAAAATATTAAGAAATTATACTTATCTTTTACGTTTCGGAGGCCAAAATCTGCCTCCATCTTCAGAAATGGATATTATATGTAAGTTCACTTATTTCAAAACTTCTTTGACATCTGTCGAAGAAGTAAAGAAATAAGCTCTCAAAAAAGGAATAACTGCATATTTATTCGAATTTTTATCCATTTCTGAAGACGGAGGCAGATTTTGGCCTCCGAAACGTAAAAGATAAGTATAATTTCTTAATATTTTTTTGATAGGCAAAATTGTGAAATACGACAAGTTACTGATAAATAGAAGATTTTTCTTTGTGAAAAATACTTTGATTTTTACGCAGTAACTTATCGGGGTAAACTAAAAAGTTTGCCCTTCTACACTTGTATAAAGTTCTCCATTATAATTTTTATATTTTTTCAGATTGTGGAAGGTAACCATTACCCAAAAAAAGGTCGATAAAAAAATGATTCACAACTAATGGAACTGGATAATAGCATGGTAGATATCAAAATACTTCACAATAACATAATGAGTGTGAATAAGAATCTTGACCAAATGAAAATAAACATATTTATAATTCTATCCAACACTTGGTAAATTAGAGATATGAACCCATATAATATGAATGTGTATAATCATGGTAACGTGAACCAAAATGATGGAGTTATTATATTTAAAAAAAAAAATATATTTCAAAATTGGAATCAAAATTATACAGCCGAATGTTAAACTACACAATAAAAATATACATTTAATATCTGTTTACAAATCACTATTCACATCAACTAATGATTTCGTTGAAAATTGATCAGAATTTCTAGAATTTCGTAAAGATAACAATACTCGTATTAGCAATCATTTTGTAAAATGAGATATCATTAACATGATGGAGAATAATGGCATCACAAATAACTATTTGAATACGCTTAATGCTCATGGATTCATATCTTATATAAATTCGGTAAAAAGGATCAACTCTGGTGTTTGTATAGATAATTTTTTTGTGAATGATACCTTAAATAACTACAAATAAAATTCATTCATCCTTGAAATCGATATAATTGGGCACTTCTCTATTGCACTATATATCATTTCACCTGAAACAAAGAAGAATTCATCAGAAATATGGAAATATAAAAATTTATTGATAACAAAAAACTGAAAGAAAATATATGTGAAGAGAATTGGCTGGATTTATACTCATCAGGTGATATTTAATTTGGCACCCGAATATTATTTCAGAAAACCAACAAAATCGTGGAAAAAAGTACAAACACAATTAAATATAGTAAGAAAACATGAAAAGGAATCCGTGGAATACTGATGGTATTGGAGGTCCATTGAAGGAAAAAATATTTATAAAGCAATGAAAGGCAACCCAACAGAAATAAATAAAAGTGAAAAAATAATAGACAAAGCAAAAATAGATTTTCATCGAAAAAATTCGAAAATAATTAAGAGGAATCCTCTAAACTATGGAAAACTGTGGAAATTACAAATGAAGGAAGAAACGACAATGCAATTAAAGAAATTCAAGCTGATGATGGTTCTATGACCAAAAAAACGGACATAGGTCTCTCTCTCTTTGGTCTTCAACCACATGGTTTTTACCGGTAAATTATAATTTTGAAACAACGATTTTTATTAAGTAAATTCTAAGAATCTTCTTTATATCAGTGGAAAGTCAACCTCTTTTATTGTAGTGACTTGTTTTATTGTATTGACATGTTCCAATTGTTTAAATGTAACATTCTTTTCGACACGACAATCCTCACCAAAATCGAAATATTGGAATAAGAGTCCACTCAAATGGAATGCACATATTGACTATTTGATAAAAAAAATACGTAGTGTTACATATAGACTGAAATACATGACACTCTACCTAGATGTAGCTCATATGCGCATACTATACTATATCTTGTTTGAAACTCACCTCTCTTATGAGACTGTTGCTTGGGGAGGAGCAAGTGCTTCTCATATAAAAATCCTATAACAAATACAAAAATTACCTCTGAAAATAATCAAAAATAAAAAATAACTTACCCTACAGAAGCCCTATATTAGGAAACATTGACTCTAAACATAAAACAACTTTACTTCTTCAAAACTGTTATAAGGCAACACAAAATGAGCATGAACTTGAATAAATTGAACATCATTATGAAACTATCCACAGAATTAATGCATCCTATGTGACAAAATCAGAGGAAAATACTTTACAAAAGTATTATACTTACATAGCTCTTCGCCTGAAAAATAAGCTTAAAGCTTGGATCTCAGGTTTGCCCAGAGCACAGATACACCAATATATTGATGTGGAAATTACATATTACTACAATGTACTCGTAAATGATTGTGGAAGATGTATATGGTTGAAATTGTGTAATATGTAGGTCACATTCTCTATTATTCATTTGCTTCATTTTTAAAACTAAGGTGTTTGTTTGTTTGATTGATGTGTGAGTGATGTTCGATGAAATGTACCTACTGTGATGGAAACTCTATATTTATCGTTAACAAAGATTATTACATATTTCAAATTGAATGGCAAATATATATTATTATAATAAAAAAACCTCCGATTTGAGTCGTCTAATTGGAAGATTTTTGTAGCTTTGAACTCCAGTGCAGCTATTATTACAGTGTTTGAGGTCAGCCCCAAGACCTATTTATTACATATCAGTGTATGTACTAAAATTTGCTCTACAAACTTTTTTATAGCTTGGGAATTAGCCAGATTGATTAATTTTCCAACGGTATCCTGGTGGGTTGACGTGAGTGGTTTGCTCGACTCACTCAATCGACCACTGTGTAAATCGGTAGTTCGAACTGCAAGGCCGTACTATCGATTTTCACTTCCTATCGTCCAACCCGTGTTTGGAATCACACGTTGAAAGTATCAACAGGAAGGGTGTCATACTTCAATTACTGATTTTGACCCAAACGAACAAACAAATGGGCAAGCTGAATGAAACCGTTTAAAATACAATGGCTCGACCAACGTCTAAGTTTGAATATACCGATGGCATTTGATGTTTTGTCCCTCAATACACCCATTTATTTTTCGAACTTCTCAACTTTGTTCTGTCCCTTTCAACAACTCATACAAACAGTTATAGTTCTCAGATTGTGAATTAGTCTTTTTAGAAATCGAAGCCAAATTCAACTCAGTGCACCTAGAACTTCATTGTTTAAGAACTCTTTCATTTGGAGAACTGCATTCATGTGGAATAAACTTCCTGAGAACGTTTTTCCAAATGGATTTAATCTCCAGCGATTCAAATTCAATGTGAATCGCTCCTTTCGCACAGGTACCGTTCTTACAGCGCCTTAAGGATTTTCCTGTAGGGCTTCTCTTTTATCCTCCAAATAAAATTGAAGAATCCACAATGATTATATAGATATTTCCTATAATATATGGATGCAGAAGTTCAAATAATCAAAGAAAGATTATCCAGTTCAACTACAATTGAAGAATATATTTATCCACAACAATATATCAATATTCCAGTGTGAAGAATTTCGGACCTTCTGTTGAACTTATGGAGTTTTCCAGAAATTTATTGGCCTTGGACATCTTACTATAAATGATCCAGTTCTACCTTTCATTCCAGTTAATAGCCATTACATATGATCCTTCTTCAAGTTCTGAAAAAGTCCAGTATTTATATCAAATTATCTAAAAGAACAATTTGTTCAGGTCAGTCACGATTTACCTACAATGTACGTTAATGGACTGACACCTATCAGAAAACAACTACTCCTTTGGCTAATACCACGAAGGGCGTTGTATTATATCCGACAAATGTCATGAAGTTATTCCTGCATTTGCTGTTGGCCATACAACTGGCACAATCTATTTTCAATTATTGGAACACACTTGCAGACCGATTTCGGGCTGTTTGGCCACTCGTCAGTGCCGGTAGTGTCTATCATCAACATAAAGTCGATTTCCGATAATTGAAAATCGAATTCCTTTAGAGTATCCTTTCTCGAACTAAGCTGAAGCGAACAACAAACAACCTGTTTGTCATCGCCCCATTTGCCTGTGAACGATGTATCTAACTGCAAGTAGGACTGCATAATTTGTGAAATTTTCTTCCTTATACGTGGAATTGGAAAATATTACTAGTTCATAGGCAAATGGGGCGATGACAAACATGTTGTTTGTCTTTCGCTTCAACCTAGTTCAAGAAATGTTACTCTAAATAAATTCGATTTTCAATAATCGGACATAATCGACTTTATGTTGATGATAGACAGCCTGAAACCGGCTGCAAGTGTGTTCTAATAATAGAAAATTGAATCCGGCAGTTGTATCGCCAACAGCATATGCAGGAATAATTTCAGTGAAGAATCCTGGCACTGACATCTGTCGGATATAATCCAATGTCCTTCGTGGTAGTACCCAGGGGAGTAGTTGTTTTCTTGGCAGTCCATTAAGCTAGCTAGAGTGTAGGTAAATCGAGACTGACCTGAACGAATTGTTCTTTCAGATAATTTGATTCACAGCCAGTCTCCAAGTATGCTTACTCGATTTGTGCAGTATTTATATTCAGTGGTCTGTCTGTCGGTCCATCAGTCTGCCGTGATTCTGAGGTTTTTTCCATTTCGTTAGAAACAAAAATAAATATTGACTTACTAGTTTGATAAACACATATCTCTTTATGGAAATATTTTCAAAACAACTGGAATTATCGAAAATTGTTAAGTCACATCCATCTCAAAAAGATTCACAAAAAATATGTTAACACTTTTTCACACCTCTGATAGTTAATAAAAAAAGATTTTGAATATGATGAGCCTCTATGTTCTTAATTAGCTACTTCTTCAACATGCTGTGTTCAAGTGTGAGAGACGGCCCAGGTCAAAATATTTAACAATAATAAAGATTTTTGGTAAAATGAAAAAGCTGAAACAAGCTTGGTGAACTCCTTCACTTCATTATTCTCCATTCAGTAAGAACTTAAAAAGAATCAATTAAGATCAACCAAATGCAAATGTACAAACGGACCAAGTATCTGTGATAACGTAATTTCTCAATAAAACCACAAAATTGAGACCATGGAGAATGAAACAATTGCCAGTTAGATTCCGCGATTATGAAATTGTTCATAAATATTCGACATTGGTGGAGAAGATTGTGATGATTCTACTGTTACTCTGTATATTCTTTGAGTTTTACCCGGTGTACCTTGTTTTACCCTGTAGTTGGTTTTTGATATATGAATAATTCAATTATTGAAATTATAGATAACTTCACTGTTCACTGTTTGATCAGTCCAACTGAGGATGTTACTATATAGTGAACCGTGTATTGGAGATAAAGTCTATATTGTGAACATTTGTAATTATTATCATGAATAGTAGGTATTATCTATATGACAAATACCATGTTTCAAACAAAATACACGATAAACCCACTTTCAGGAAAATATTTGTTTGCAGACCTACTACTACATTCATGTTGCAATCTTTTTTGCATTCAATATCTGTAAAGTGAATAAAAATCCCTTTTGATGTGAATGGAAGGTAAACCAAATGAAGCAATACAATTCAGAAACTTTTTCTGTTTGAGAGATTTTTTCCAATTAGACTAAAATATTATCTACCTAGTTGGTTACATTCAATTTGCGATCCTAGGCATAAATAATGTAATTATCGTTAATGTTATAATTTATTTCAGCATGTCTTGCACCGTTGACCAATGGGCTTCAACTAGCTTGGACTTCACCATTCATTCCAAAAATAACCAAAGACAAGGAACATTACGATATATCAGAAGAAGAAGCATCATACCTCACAATTATTCAGCCTATTGCAATGATCCTAACTTCCCCCTTTTCTTCAAAATTATGCGACATTATTGGGAGGAAGAGAACGCTGATGCTGATAACACTGCCACACACAATGAGTTGGATTTTGGCAGCAGTTGCTACAGACATATATACTTTTTATGGTTCTAAGATTTGCTCGGGAATGGCAAGTGGAATAGCTTTTGCTGCTTTACCTATGTATATAGGGGAAGTGTCTTGTCCTGAAGTGCGAGGAACTTGGGGAAATCTGTTTTCTTCGGCAATATATCTAGGAGAATTTGTAATGGCTATACTCGGCAGTTATTTCAATGTTGAAGAAACATCTTACATATGTATTTCAATCCCTATTTTATTTAGCATACTTTTTTCTTTCATGCCCGAATCGCCTTACTTTTATATAATGAAAGAAAAACCTGATTATGCTAAAACTTCTTTACGATTCTTCAAACGGAAGGTAAACATAGATCATGATTTTATGTTGCTGCAGAATGATGTAACAAGACAAATGTCGGAATCTGCAGAATGGATAGATTTCATTAAAATTGAAAGTAATAGAAAAGCACTTTCAGCAGCAATATTCTTGAGAACTTCCCAAGTATTTGGAGGATTGACACTCTTTATTGTTTACATTCAATTCATTTTTGAGAAATCTGGTGGCAATGTAAGTCCGGAATTATCATCAATGATATATACAGGTCTGAGTTTTGTCTTGAATATTTTTGTTGTTATATTTGTCGTGGATAGACTGGAGAGAAAGAGTGCTTATATATGTTCAATTGGTCCTTGCTCTGTAATCCTCCTTTTGGTTTCGGCATATTTCTATGTTGATAGATACTATCCTGACACAGTTGGTACTTCCTTTAAATGGGTACCAATTACAGGAATGATATCTTACATGATATTTGCATCTTTTGGGGTGGCAGTCATTCCTACATTGATGCTTGGTGAACTGTTTTCTACCAGTGTCAAATCTAAAGCAATGACGATAATGTCAATAATTTTTGGGATGCTTTCATGCGTCACTTACTATATTTTTCATTTCTTATATTTTTCTATTGGACTCTATGCGCCGTTTTTATTCCTTGGATGCTGCAATGCCATTTCAACAGTGCTCTCACATTTTTTAATACCAGAAACGAAAGGTAAAACTCTTGAGGAAATTCAACAAGCTCTCAAAAATAAGAGTTTCAATGTTGTAAACCGAGTTGTTTGATTAAATAAGTTATGGCTATCGTTCAGAGGAACATCATTGTATTGAAGATTTTTACACTTGCACTTAGACTATGTATCTGTTTTTCAATTTCAGTTTTACAACTTGAAAAATCTAAAGAATATTACTGGAGTTTTATCCTAACATGAAGCCAGTATATTAACACCTCGACACGTGTTTCGATCACCAAGTGATCATCTTCAAGACGAAAATTCAACTAGATATACATACAATGTTATCCTTATTTAAACCATAGATACCTCTGCTAGGTACCTGCATCTCAATTGTCTTATATTTATTTTGCAATGTTGCCTTACATAATAGTCAGATAAATTTGATAACTGAAATATTTCAACAAGCTATATAGTATACCACTAGATATTGGTCTACCATCGTTATTCATAATACTGTTATGTTTACTCATTTCTACACACTCATAGACATCTACATCTGTTGTTGTCAACTAGTCCAACTGATCTTGATGAACTAATAAAGCCTATGGAATGGTTTTGTTACAAAATATGTTAGCGACTGTTGATTTTTCTGGTCTTCCATATTTTAGGTGTGCTAAGTGTTCCTTATATCTTATTTTAATAGACCTTATAGTTTGTTCATGATATTTTGAATCACAGTCCTTCAATTATTCAATTTCATAAACACTTTTCCAAACTCCAAAATAGATGTTGAATTTTTATTTGGTACCAAATGATCACCTATAAATTGAGTCAAATAAGTCATTATCTATTTGTTTTCTTTCGTTTAACTTACAACCGTATCCGAAATTGCATATCCGTAACATACCGGGTTCAAAATTATTAAGGCATATTCTTGTCAAACATTGACATCACCAGATGTCATGTTCGAAAGTTTTCGTATGCACTATATATATTTATGCACAAATATCAAAGAAAGGACAGGGCCTCAAAAAAGTGACGAGGGCCAGAAATAATAAAGATGAAAACTGAAATTATTCACAGTAACTGTAGCAGTCAGAAAGATTGTGAAACTCGAAGTTTGCAGAAAGGTGACAAAGAGAGACCTCATACAAATATGAGGATCCTCTGTATTGCAAACTTCATTTCAACCTCACTTTCGTAAGTATGAACACGTTGTTTATTCAATAATTATTATAGAATTCCTCATGATGAGACAATGTCTCAAAAGCTTGAACAGAAAAAAAATTCACAATCTTTCTGCCTCTAACTGTTACACCCGATTTCTTTCTTCTTGAGGTTGAAAATGAGCGACTTATGTGGAAATATTTATTTATTTCTCTAGAACAAAACATTTCTTGGTATTGGCGAATAAAGAGCTATCAAATATCGAGTAAATAATATTCACAAACACCGCTTTCTTGTTGAACACATGTTTGGGCCCTTCTCTCGACACTATGTGTTGTTATCAACACAATTCGTCCATCAATTCTATTTATTATAGTTTCAATATAATTTGTTAGTTCATCTAGATTATTGTTTTATTTTGTACACCTTATTTTTCAGAAATCCCCAAAAATAAAAATCTAGTTGTCACGTCTGGTGAACGAGGAGGCCACTTAACAGGACCATTTGTAGCAAACCATCTGTTTCCGAAACAGTCTCGCAACATTCTTTTTAGGCCATTGAAATTATGTGCTGGTGGTCCATTTTGCTGAAAATAGATCATCTGACGAGTCAAAAAACTCTTCAAACACTCTTGTTAATAGATTAATGTAACGGGGTTTGTTCAAAGAATCATGGTAGAAAAATAGACCACACCAAACATTAATACTAAATCGTCTTTGCGGATTGTGGGTATGGACTGGAGTAGAGTATGTCCACTCCAATAATGAAAATGTTTTCCATTATACATCCCACAGTTTGAAAAACTAGCCTCATAGATCCATATAATATTTCTATAAAAGTTTGGATCTTGTCTGCATTTATTCATAAACCACCGACAAAACCCCAATCATCTCTCAGGGTCACCAGGTTCTAGTGTTTGCACTCGCCTTAACTTTGAAATAGAAATAGTCTTATTCATCACTAAAATTTTCCCATATACACAATTACAAGATTAAATACATGAGAAAACTTATTGGACTAGCGAATGACTCTTTTCAGTAGAGACAGTGTCTCGCAGATTCCGAATTGCGTAGTTTGCACTGCCAACCTTTACACATAAAGTGTCGATATGTGCCTCCCATGTTAGCTTTTGATCCAGGAGTATTCCTACAAATCTAATTACCTGACAGTATTCCAGAGTTTCACCACACATATTGATGTTGTTCATTAGATCTGGATTTGAGGTATAGTTTTTAGTTAAGAAATTGATAACTTTGTTTTCTTTATATTGCAGACAAGGTCATTGTCGCTACAGTATACCGAATTCATCACATGCATAATAACCCAAGTTTACCAGACTTTCCAAGTGTTCATGGACTGGAAGTATATTTGTGTCATCAGCGTAAAGTACCATTCTATTTGGTGTGGTACAAGTATCGTAGATGTCATTTAAAAATATTATAAAAAGAGTTGGTCCCAATACATACCCCTGGGGCACTCCTAACTCAGCACTCTTACAGTCGGATTTGCTATTATTCATTACTGGCACTATCCAATCATGTGGTAAACCACGAATTCCTATGCTGTATAATTAATGAAAGAGTGAGTCGTGGTTAGCCATATTAAATGCACGAGTTAAATAATTGAATATACATAGTACATTCTTTTTGTTGTTGAGCTGTTAGCTAAAATCTAGAGCTTGCTTAATGGCCGTTGAAGTTGATTTAGCTTTCCTGAATCCATTTTGGTTATTAGAGGTGATATTGTAAAGTTCAAGGTAGGAGATCAGTCGGACAGAGTAGGCAGCTTGGAACACTTTGGAAATTTGACTCTGAACACAAATAGCGCGATAGTTTGCAGCATCATGTTCGGAACCTTTATTTTTAAATATTGGTATATATTTTGATCGTTTTAGGCCCGGAAAAATACCTCTTGAAAATGACTCGTTTATTGAGATATGCCAGTGGTTCACAAATTAAATCCATAACTGATCTAAAAACTCTTCCATTAATGTCATCAATTCCTGAAGCTGTCTTTGAGGTAGTTTTCATTAAAATTGTTCTCATTCATCTAGCGTTACAGGAGTCAGAAAAAAGCTAACAGAAGTAGTGTTCATTTTTTGTTTTTATTGGAGCTTAAGCAAATTTTTGGGAGGTTAGTAAAATACTTGTTGATATAATTACATTTGTCCAGTTCATCTCTAAGAAGTTATCCATTCTTATTATGTATGTCAGGAAATGGTTTCTTATTAACTCTGTTATTATTTTCATTGATTATTTTCCAACATTATTGGACTTTTTTATTCTAGCGTCATTGATCTGTTTCTGATATATTTTCGTAGTCTTTTGATAACATTTTTTAGATTCCTTATAATTTGGAGGTATAGAACTTGTTATCGCTATTTCGCTCAGCTGGTTATGCATGTTTTTTATATGTTGGAGTGATAGTTTTATCACGTCGATATTCAAGTCAGGGGATAAAGCAAATATACAAAATTATAAACCGATCACAATTCTAAGTGCAATCCCAAAATTATTAGAGAGTTTGATTTGTGATCGAATAAAAAATCCATTGAACCAAGATATTATACAAGAGCAGCAACTAAAAATTTACTGATTTCAACCCAATTACTGGTGAATGCCTTGAAACAAAAGTACCAAGTGGATGTAATTTACACAGACTTTTCCAAGGCATGCGACGATTAATTATACTGTATTTATTGCTCAGGAAACTTGAAACACTAAGGTTTCACGGAGATTCATTGAACTGGTTTGAAAGCTATCTTCGAGATAGAAATTAATATGTAAAAGTCAAGAGTTTCATATCTAAAGAGATTTACGTCACGTCAGGAGTGACACAAGGAAGCCACCTAGGCCCCTTCTTGTTCAATATATTCATCAAATATATTGAAGGGATAATGAAACATTCAAAATTTCTGCTGTTTGAAGATAATCTTAAAATATTTAGCCCTGCCAACAACAAGCAACAATGTGAGAATGTCTGAACGGATCTCACCTCAATTGTCAAATGATGCTCCGAAAACTACATGGAGCTGAATACAAAGCTATGTCATTTTATCGATCACTTGAACATATCGAATTTGGTTATAATATCGATGGCAAACTTCTCACTAGGGCAAACACTGTTCGGGAACTCAGTGTTCTTTTTGTCACCAAGGTTGATTTCCATCTCCACTATGAGCAGGTTGTGAATAGGGCGACAAAAATGCTGGGCTTTTTGTGCAGGGCCACAATAGAATTCATTAATGTTAATTCCATCAGAACCCTTCATTATTCTTTGGTTAGATCAATATCGGAGTATTGCTTTTGTGTGTGGTCGCCAACATATGAAATCTATATAAACAAATTAGAACTAACTCAGAAAAAATTTCTAAGATATCTTGCTTATAAATTGAATATACCTTTAAACGAAAACGCACTGAGAGAAGTTTGCACTATAACAGAAATAGTGAAACTGAGTACTCATAGAGTTTATGCAGACATTAGATTTCTACATAAGATTTTGAACTATCACGTTGACTGCCCTCCACTCAGACGTTTGCAATTGATTTCCATAGATGCAATTATGGAAAACACTCGCCATTATCCAGAATTGTAACGAATTCTAATGATATTCAAGTAAATCTGTTCAACATCTCTGAAAGTAGCTTGAAACGAAGTTTGCCATCACTTCTAAAAAACAATACATAGATCTGCACATGTATATGTGAATATATAGGCCGTTTCTTTCATCTGTTTCTGTTTTTCCATTAACCAGCTGTCGCACCCCTACGAACAACAACCCTCAGAAGTCGACATTTGTGCGAGCTAAGGATTATCGAGGTCTTTCCTTTTAACATGTGATTATCATGTGGTAACATTGCTATATTCTAAACTGTAACAGATACAAAGACGATTAAATCGGAAAAAAGGTAACCGTCATCGAGAGAAATGGTCGAAGAAAATTTACGGGGACTCTCGCCGTTCTCGAGTTATATGGGAAAAACAAAAATGCTGTTTTTCGTTTTTTTCGAATAGAATTGTTATTTCGGACAATATAAAAAAATGATGGGTGACCATATAAGGGAGGCATATTCCAGCCGAGATTTGACGTA